TGCAATGAGAACAAATGGCAGAAAAAGCTAAATAACTGAAAACGGACATGGCTTAAATGCCAAAAGTCATAGCACTCGATATATCAAATGTTGAAATAGCACAAAACTTGTGGAATGCATTTTTAGTTGCCAAAAAAACATACAGAAGAAATATAGATCATCCCAATTAGTTTTGTTATAATGTTCTTCATTAAAAGGCTCCATGAATGCCTTGCAGTTTTTCTTTGGACTTTGGCTTCTTTTCATTCTTTTTTTTCCATTTGTCTACTTCTGAGTATTTTGTCATTATATGTTTAAAATAATTAGCTAATTACAGAAGAGTCAGCAGATAATTAGTGTGTGAAGGTTACGTTTAAAAAAAGAACCACTTAAAGACCTGAAAGAGGCATCATTCTTCACATGATAAGATTTTCAGCTAATAGTATTTTTTCAGAATCATTTTGTTAGGGCTAAAATACTATTTCATGTCTGTCATGAGATGTTTTACAAATTTAACTATAAATATTAAAAAGTTGTGTCTTTGTATCTGCTAACAACAAACTACCTAAAGATCCGATTGCTAAGCAGCATGTTGACACAGAACTGGTTCATCYCTTGTGTTTTGAAGTCTTTTAGGTCCAAAGAATTCAAGCTGACTAAAAAAAAAACAAAATTACTCCTTTGAAAATGGTCCAGTCTGGGACTGAAAGATGAGTGGGAAAAGTCCCGAGGAAAAAAACTTTCAAAGACTTCAGAAAGCCTGGAGAAATATCGATCAGCACCACTTTGAAAGACTACAGGAAAGTCTAGCCCCTTGGAGGTGAAGAACGGCACAGAGCTGCATAAAAATGATACGAGATGGACAAGAAGAAGCTGCAGAGGAGATGCTGCAGACTCCTAATGTTTGTAACATGTATTCTGAAACATTTTATAGCACTCATGAAAATCATATTATCAACATTAAGCAAATCACCATTTAAAAAATTCTAAATGTAATCTATTTTAACACAACTTAAATCTGCTTATGGATCAGTTTTTAATGCTTTAGGTATTTTCATACTGCATGTGCATCCATTTTCTTTTAAAGAAATCTGTTGCAGGTACATTACTTTACCCAAACAGGTCTTTCTGAGTCAGAACGGCACTAATATCTTTGAGAGCCTCTTTCGGAAGGCAGAAACCCCTCATGTCCTCGAGCCGCAGAGCCAGAGCTCCTCTATCCACGAGAGCCAGGCTGTCTCTGTCCAAAAAAGGCAACAGAGCTCCAAGGACATCCAGGAGAGTGCCGTCAATCGTCCCCTCAGACAGAGAAGAGCCCTGCAGAACCACGGATACAAAAATTACCTTTTATTATCTCACCTATGTGAAAAAGCTGCTCTATGACACGAGCTTCCCTGTTCTTTTTATCTGACTTGAACTTACAAAGGTAGTTCTTTCTTTCTGTCCTTTAACAAATAAAAGCATGTCTGATGTGCAGCTTTGCTCCAAATTATTATAGATTTGTAACATTTTCAGACAGAAGTTAAATTTATGTCTTTCTGTGCACCATTTAAATGCAGTCATTGTATTTTAATGTCTGCTTTACCAGTCGGGCCATGGCCTTCTCAGCTAAATTTGTCTGTTTATAATGAGGCAGCTGCAGGAAATCGACAAAGTGTGACTGAATGTGGCTCAGAATGGCTCCGACAGACGTGTTGGAGAGGCTCTCTATCATCGTCACTCTGCAAAAGAAGGACCAGTTTATAAATGAAGTCTTTGATAAAGAAGATTGGACATTTCTTTTACGGTGATTACACATTCGATGAAGAGATTCTTACGGTAAAGTTGCAGCAAACCCAGAATTTAAAAGGCTGAGGTCGAGTTCAGGTCGATTCCTCAGTTCCTCCATGATGCATTTTCTCTGGTAACACAGGTTGAAATGGTTATTTTTCAAAATAAAAGCGTACGTGTGACATTAGCTTTTATTATACGAAAGGTTGTGACCAGTGTTGCCAGATCTCACAACAGAAACAAGCAACCAGCTCTGTGAAAACAAACCCAAAATAAGCCCAACTGGCAAACCCCCACATTGTGTAAAACAGAGGTAAATTATAACAGTACTGTAAAAACATATTCATTTATTAATGCATTATACATAAGCAACAGAAAAATTATGATAAATATTACCATAAAAAATGAACAACTTTAATGGTTTGAATTATTTCAATTATTTTAATGACATACTTTTAAACTCTGGTCATAAGAAAAGTGCATTTTGCAGCAAAATGACAGTTCAGTCAGCAAAAACTCCCAAAAATCTTTGCGCTCTTATTTCCTCACTTTTTATTATATTTTTCCCCATATTTTCCTGACTTACTGCAACTGATTCTCACTCTGTTTTGTCACTTATATCCAGAGGTAAAGAAGTAATTTTTGCTGATATTAAAAWATTGGCTCTGGCTCAAATTGTTCTCTCTCTCTCAATTCATGCAATTTAATCAGCAAATTCCAAACAAATTAAAACTTATCAATATTTTCCTGTACTGTACTTGTATTCCAATGTAAGCAKCGTATTTTATTTATTTATTTTTTGTCTGTGCACCACTTGTGTAAAATGTCCCAGTTGATTAAATCGAGCGCACCAATCCCCACTGTGTTTTAGAAGTAGACACGCATGTGTGCTGAATAAAGTCTCCTGTCATAAGTTCTGAACCGGACCGGACCGGACCGCACTGCCTCACCCCTGCTTGTTTCCCCGTCACTCTGGGCTCTGGTGTGTGTGTTTGAAGTGTGCCRACTCAACTCAGGTGGGAGCAACAACCAGGAAACAGGGGAATGGGAGGGACAAACCCACTGCTCCTTGTGTTCTGCTTCAACAGGAGCGGAGTTAAGCATGTCATTCAACAGACAAACCCAAAATAAGCAACTCACCTTCAAAAATAAGCCCAAAAAAACCTCAACCCGCGACTCACGGAATTTACAAGCAACTTCAGAAAAAAAAAGAAGCCCAAAGTCGCTTATAATAAACGGACCTGGCAACATTGGTTGTGACAAAAACAACTGTTTCTCACCAGAGCAGGTCTGGAGCTGGCAGCAAGTTCACTGACAAACTGAAGCAAACCTGTCGAATCTGTGTCATTGATCCAAAACCTGAAAAAATCACAACTCATCCCACCGGCAATGTTGCCCAGATCTCTACAAAAGAAGAGGACATTATTAATTTTAAAAAATAACGTCAATTTGATCCTTTCTATTGTTTAAGATGCAAGAAAATTAAAACACAAACAGCAGGTATATACCTCAGGTTCTTCACGGTAATGTTTTTAAACTCAAGGATCTTCCTGAACAAAAACTGAGCCTGCAGGAAAAAAAGACAACATGAGTCAACATTTTGATCAAAGATTCCGGCTGAGATGTTTGCAGAGGTGAGATGGAGATGGTTTGGACCAGTGGAACCAGCTTCCAGTTTCTGTCCATGAGGCTGACACTCTGTCTCTTTTTAAGACTTTCGTTTTTGATAAATCCTTTTAATATCGTCAGATTTAGGTTATTCCTTACTTATAGGTTTAAACTGCTGGAGGACAAACTGACCACAGAAAAACACCTGGACCAGTCATTCTGCGTTCATCCTGAACCTGGTTCTGCTGGAGGTTTCTTCCTGTTAAAAGAGAGTTTTTCCTTCCCACTGTCACCAGTGTGCTGCTCAGGAAGGAGACTGAAACTAGTGATTCAATGCAAGCTGCTGGCCTCTTAGATTATTTTTGTACAGAGCCCTGAGAAGACGTTCATCTTGGTGCTGTTTGAATAAAAATAACTGAATATTGGGCAAATGATGTTGAATAATATGGAAATGGCATTGAGGAGGACAAGAGGGAGACTACAGAGGAGGTTTATGCAGAGGGTTGGGGTGACAGAGCTAAAAGAAGATTTGTTTTATTTGCATTGTTTTGATCATTATAAACTGTAGGAAGTCTGTTTTCCTTAAATGTTTCTTTGAAACATATCATGTCTCAGTGGGATCACCTGTTTAAATAAAAAACAAAAAAGCGCCAAAAGGAATCTCAGCTGTTGATATCAAAACAAATATCAAGCAACTGACTGAGCTGAACAATCCAATAAACAGATCGCTCTGAGATCAGCTGCTTTCGCTGAGTCTGAGCTGTTAAAAAGAAGTTTTGTTGGACGTTAAATCAATTGCAGTTAAACGATAAATGCATCAAAATGAGATTTATATTATGCTCCGAATTAATGAAGCAGAAATGACTTCGGGTTGAACTCAAAATCTCTTAACTGAGAAACTGATAGCCCACGTGGAAACATTTAGTTGTTCTTCCAAACAGAATAATTTATGTGATAATATTCATCGACAGTGCATATTTCTGTGTAAGCGAAAGGATCAATCTTTATTGATTTAATTCAGGTCTCGTTAGGATGAAAACAGGTGTTGAAAGCAGCTTCATACACTCCTGGCTGTGATAAAAATYCCTTTAAGGACAGCCATTATTAATTGATGCTATACTCCTGCCCGCCATTGTACAACATCCAGAGTAATTAGCTTGATGGCAGCTGATGTGAATGGAGGATTAATACCCTGAAAGGCTCATCTGAAGCATATCCAATGATTTGSAGATTAATGAGAGTAAAAAACCTGAAGCTGCTAACATTTAGTGAAAGAACTGGGGGGTCTACTGCTGTCATRTCTGAAATGTTAGGCTGCACACAAGACAGGAGATTATAGAAAACTGTGCACCTGCTGAGGCGACCAGAGCACGTCTCTGTATGAGCTGATGCCTCTCCAAACGGTTTCACCACTCAGGTACGGTATCAGCTTTCTCAGGGGAACAAAAGGAAACAGACAGTTTGCCTGTTGAGTGATGTTCTTTGAGTCTCTATGCAGAGCCTGTCAACAAGCAACAAAACAGAAAATAGGAAATTWAAGGCATATATGTTCCCAGATTTGACAGATTTGTCTAAGACAAGTTTTAAGCACCTGCACATCTGCTTAAACCAGAMTGGGCTGCAGCTAATTCAAATAAAACACTTGTTCTTAGGATTAAAGGGAGAAGTGATGATTTTAATAAAGAATTTGAGCACTGTCACCTCCTGCATTGCACYGTACAGCATGGCTCTGTGGCTGGGCTTCAGCTCGGTTAGCATCTCTCTCCAGCAGGGACAGCGGGCTTCATCACTGATGTCAGACCAGCGGAGGTCTGTGAGCAGAGCAGGAAACAGAGCGGAGTGTAGGGGCTTCAGGCGGCACAGGCTTTCCACGGAGAGCTGTGGGGGGAGGAGAGAAACGCAGTGATGACGCCGCAAACGCACGGAATTCAGTGCAAATGCTCCGGAAAGGTCTCCTTACGTTGGCGTCCTTTGTGAGCCTGGATAAAATCTGAAACGCCTGAAGGGAGCATAAAGAAAAATAATTACGTGGCCAAACTTAGCAGGACTTCACATTTAAAGAACAATTCGCACAATTTAATGACTAGAAGATGCGTCGTGGCTTCACATTGACAGTTTAGACTTTTTTTTTTCTAACAATACAGCTCCTTACCATAAAACAGTTGAGCTAAAAGAAAAAAAAGAAAATGGCACAAAAGAGAAGGAAAATGATGTGAAACCAGTTGTGTGAAGAAAACCTCCCTCCCTGCTGACCTGAGCTGGTGAATATGTGTGAAGTCCTGGCAGAGACAGGACTTCCTGCAGCTCTTGTGAAGGTAGAGGCAGCAGGAAGGAGGCTCCTAACTGAGGCAGCAGACCGGTGAGATCAGACAGGTCTGAAGACGTCGTGCTGCTGAGGTTCAGCTCGGCTGACGCTGCTGGGATCAGCCAGGACGACAGCTGCAGAGTCCGTGAAACACAGTTAAACAGCCAGTCAGGCAGAAACAAGCTCAAACCCGAGAAGGCAGATTGTGCATTTTGTGCCTCTCACCCTGCCATTAGCATCGATGAGGCCCTTGGACATACACCGAGACAGCTGCTGCCACAGAGCAGAGGACACAGCTGAGTCCTGGAGATATAAACCCAAGTCTGCTGGATCCATGTAGCACGCAAGAACTCCTAATCTGCAAATGAGCTTACTCTTTATCCCTTTATTCATTCATCCAATTACAATAACATCAAAAACATGTGTTTGATGCTGCTAAAAGTAGAAATATTAAACTGCAACACAGGAACAACCAAATGATTAGATGGACAGAAGAGAAACTTCAGAATCCTCCTGCTGGTTATGATTAGTAGTGCTCCAGGTGCTGCAAATTGACCAGTGCCGTCACAAAAACATGTCTGCCCCACCTCAGCAGGTCRTCAGCCGTCAGATTCTTTCTCTTGCTGAAAAGCGTCCGAAGCACATGGCGCCCCCTCACACCATCCAGGCTGCTGTTGCCTAGCAACTCCACCAGAGGAGCAAGCTGAGGATGAGAAATGTCCAGACAAACAAAAACCAAACTTCCTTTAATTTAACAAAGAGAAATGTTTCAAGAAAACTACAGGAAACTAAACTTAGTACAGAAAATAAATAAAGTTGTGTTTAATGCTTCTTGGCAATAAACCTTATACTGTTGGAACGTCTGTTATTTGTGCTACAAGATAGACGTAAAACCCTCAATCAGACTAGAATGAACGAGTCTAGAAGCTGAATGGGGGATGAGTGTTGAAGCACCTCATTTGGATTCAAGAGACAGCCTCAAAACAAGTTGATCTGAGACACACCTTAGACAAGGGGTGAAAGAGGGGCTTGTGGAGCTACAATAAGGAGGAATTCAGGCAAGACAGTTCCACTTTATACAGAGTCTGATGCTACACTGAATTTCTTGAATCTAAATGAAAGTATGACAGAAGTCATCAGCTTTGGTAAAGACATTTCTCCTGACAATCTTGGTCCTTTGGCTTCATCCAGCTGCTCTGCTGTCAGAAATTTGGGTTTCATTTTTGATAATGCATTCTTTTGGACAGGCAGATAAACTCAGTGGTTAAATCGAGTTTTTTCCAACTAAGACTTATTGCTAATGTGAAGCCATGCCTCCCAAAAAAAGACCTTGAAAAAGTGATTCATGCTCTCATTACATCTTGTTTAGATTATTGTAATTCTTTGTATGTTGGTTTAAATAAATCTTCTCTGCATCCATTACAAGTTGTCCGGAACGCAGCAGCTCGTCTTTTAACAGGAACTAAAAAACATGAACACATACCCCCGGTTCTGGCTTCTCTCCATTGGCTTCCTGTTCATTTTAGGAGAAATTTAAAGATTTTATTGCTTACTTTTAAAGCTTTAAAAGGTCTGGCCCCATCCTACTTGTATGATCTCATTAACATCCACACTTCAGTTAGAGCACTTCGGTCATCCAATCAGTTTCTCTTAGATGTTCCTAGATCTAGACTAAAGTTTAGAGGTGATCGGGCCTTTACAGTTTCTGCCCCAAACCTTTGGAATAGTTTACCTCTCAGCATTTGGACTGCTGAGACTGTTGAGACGTTTAAATCTCTGCTTAAAACTCATTTTTACTCCCTGGTCTTTCACTCTGGTAGAGTTTGAGATTCTTTTAAAGCCAATGTTTCCTATGTCCTAATTCTCTATCTTATACTGATCTTATTTTTATTTATTTATTTTGTGTTGCTTTGTTATTTCATTAATTTGGCTGAATTGCGAAGCACTTTGGTCAGCGCTTGTTGTTTTTATGTGCTATATAAATTGATATTGACAGACCCCAACTGAATGATTTAAATGTGAAAAGAATTTAAAAGAAAGATTTGTTGCCAAGAAGTATTGTTACAACAAACAAAGAAAATAATATACCAAACACACATTTTCTTACATTTTGTGTCAATAAACCACAGCTGCATTCAAACCCGAAAACAAGCATCAAAAAACACAATCAAAACAGAGAGATGATTCATTTCTGTTGTTTATCACCAGCTCATGCCTGTGAGTTTAAAACAACTTGAGCCAAATGCTCTCTGACCTGTTGTGACGTCAGCTGACGGAAGTGACTGACAGGCAGGTACGGCAGGAGCGGGAGGACAGAACTGAGGAAGTACGGTGGCCACGTGGGGACATCTCCCACCGCGCTGGACTGCAGCAGCCGCTTCACAAAAGCCTTTTTCTGCAGCTGCTTCATCTCTGAGCTGTGGTCACGAATGGCCGTCAGCCTGAGGAGCAACGCAGAAACAGACATCAGGAGAAGAGGCGATTTAAGATAAATACTGCATGATCTGCTCCGTCAGGAACTCACACGCTGTCGTTGACGATCAAGGAGGCCGGGAAGCTCATGATGTCAGAAACAGACATGAAAGGGATGAACTGAGAGAGGTCAACAAAGAGCTCCGGGGTCACTCGGGGGAACTTATGGATGAAAGCAGCCGTCATGGTCTCCATGGCCTGTAGCTCTTGTTGAGAAGCCTGATGAAGAAAACAAAACAGGATCTTAAGAAGAAAGGCATCCAGTTTTTCTCTCATTAATCATGGGCAGCCATCATACAACTTAGGTAGCTTTGCAATCAAATCACCTGCTTATAATGAAAACCATGTTACAAATCCTGCTGCTGTTTTAATTAAACAACATAAAATAGCAAAATGGAGTATATCTTATCTTAGGTACAGTTTTAAAGTGCCTGTGACATTAAATTAAAGTGATAAATTTGAGTGTATATTTGGAAAGATAACATTCATGATGAACTGCAAACAGAAATTCACGACACTGAAATGAACAGTTGTCGAGATATTTGCATGAGCAGAAACAGGAAGTGATGTCAAAGGGGAATGCCTGAATGAGTTGTTACAACAGCTAACAACAGACTGCAAAGAATCAGATGTTTCTCTAAATTATTTTGAGTCATTATCAGATAAAGAAGAGTCAGATTTATAAAGACCAGGAAGTTACCTTTTTTTTAAAGAGTTCCCTTTTGACATCACTTCCTGTTTCACTTGGACCGCACCAAATGTAGAAAAAGGTATTGTGACAAACTGGGTAAAAATCATATGAATGATGCCAAATTTCTAAAATATTAGGATATTTTCTTTAATTTTTTTTGTAATTGAAGAAAAGGGCAATTTTAAAAGCAAACCTGGCTGGTTTCAACTTGAAGCTGGTCCCAGCTTTGGTGCATGTGGGAGATGAATCTCTTCACAGCATCTTTTTCAGCAGACATCACCAGAGAGCGAATGCTGTCTCTGGGCATCTGGAAGTACTCCTAGTTATGCGGTGATTCAAAGAAAATGTTCAGTTAGGTGATTATTCTGCAAAAAGTACAAAATATAACTGCAGAGGCCAGTACCTGCAGCAGAACCCTGAGAGTGGATGAGTTATCGTTCTGCTGAATGAGGTCCCACAGGATGGGCTGAAAAAAGTCACATCAGAAACGAGTCATTCACTCATCGCTTGGTTCAACCGGTTCAGATGTTATCATCCATTAAATGGAYGTCATTAGCCTTATCAGTCCCATAGAATGGCTTCAGACTGTCCCGACAGTGCCCCCTAGTGGGTTACCAGTGCCACATACACTGGAATGCAACAATCTACTTTATCGTAGCCCATGCCATTTTCTCTAAAATTAACCTTAGTGTTTTTATGCCTCATATTAACCAGCTGACAATCTGAAGCCATTCTATGGGACAGGGGAACCCACTAGGCAGCACAGTTGAGACAGTCTGAAGTCATTCTATGGGACTGATAACGGCTAATAACGTCCATTTAATGGATGATAGCATCCAAAGCAGGTGAGGAGAACGTGTCACTGCTCTGTCTTACGCTGAAGCAGCTCAGCAGGTCCTCTTTCAGAGTGGCGTTCTGCTCCCTGCGCAGGAAGACCCCCACAGTGTGCAGGACGCTCGTCGAGGCCTCGGGCCGCAGAGCGGTCCAGGATGTGTTGTCGAGCAGACTGGAGAGCAGGATGGCCTGACCCAGACCCTGCCTCGCCTCTCGTTCCCCTTCATCCAGCCCGGAGGAGAGCCCCACCACCACGTCCAGCACACGCAGCAGGTACCCCAGCGCCGCTACAAACCCCTCTTGCTCCCCTCCTTCCATCTCGCACACGCTCAGCTTGTGCAGGAGGTCCGCCAGCAGCGGGGCCGGCTCCACGCACAGCTGAGACGTGTCAAACTCGTACCGCGCTGGGAGCATGTCGAAGAACCGCTGCAGGAAGCACTTTCTGCTTTCCTGCTCTGCTTGGAGGTCTGCGCAGACGTCTTCCAGCTGAGGCTTTGACCTCACCAGCTGGTGGTAGAGAGTAGCGTTCAGACAGATGTACTCCCTCAGTCCCTGCGTCTGTATGCACAGCCGCAGGAGGGTGGAGTTGGTGAAATGCTGCACAGTCCACTCCCTGTACTCACAAGTCTCCCTGAAGGAGTCCTCAGAGGTGACGTTGTGCATCTTAGAGCAGTAGGCTGCTGCCCAGCTTCCCTCTGATAGGGACTGCTGTGKGTCACACAGACCTGAGACCAGGACTGAGTGGTTGGGCAGGAAGCAGTCTCTGAAGGTTTCAGCACTGAGGGACCTGCTGCCCAGCTGGGACACACAGATCTCACTGAGTCCTGGACTCGCTGACACTTCATCTGAAAGCTGCACACACAGACTGTCAAGGCTTGTCTGGTTAAAAAAGTGATAATCCTTCAGCGCCGCAGCCTGAAAACAGCCAAACAGGAGTTTGAATTTAAAAATAAAAGCACAACATCGGCCCTGAAATGAAACGTTCAAACACTCACTTATGAAAAAATCACTGCTTTACCTGCTGCACTCTCTGCAGCCAGAAGGACGARTTGGCACACACGGTGTTGTTGAACTCGTGGGCGAAGTACTCGCTGCAGACATGGACCCAGAAGAAGTCCTCCTCGGCAGCGGACAGGTACCATTCTGCATCAGAGCACGTAGCATGCAGGTCCAGCCCCAGATGAGTCACAGCGGGATCAACTGACCCGTTTTCGCCTTCAAACAGTTTACAGTAGAGGAACACGGTGAAGTTAGAAACGCCGGTCAAACCTGGGATGGACTCGTTACACGCCGCCTCCAGGATTTCTGCAGAGGTGGAGAACTCCAGCTCTCTCTGCCTGCTGTCCTGGCCGTGAGGTGCGGCCGAGTCGTCGAAGATTCGCTTTGGTTTGAAGCCTTTGGTGTCCTGAAGGTTTTTTGAGGACGGCTGAGCTGGTGGTCCTTGTTTGGAGGGGCAGGACAGAAATGGGAGTGAACCTGGGAGACCCTTAGAGCCCAAAGCCTGAGCGTTCCACATCACATTATGTCTTATCCCCCTGGAAAGGCCAGAACAAGAAAAACACGTCTCAAACATAAATCTGTGTAACTCATAATCTGCTGTCAGACTCAAACACAGCAATGAAATCTTACCATAAGATCAAATGTCTCAAGTCACCTTTAAAGAGACAAAAACAGAAAGAAAACATCAATTTAAAATCAGAACTGAATGAGTCGTGGAAACAACAGCTGAAGACTCCTGCAGCGCAGAACTATTGGTGATATAACAGAGCAGCTCGGCTAACAGTAGCCGAGATATAAAGTTACTGACATCAACGAGAGGATAAAAGGATTAACTGAGCAAACAACAGAAGCTTTCACGGCTCAGAATGATTATAAAGATTTTAAAGCAGTGTCAGTCAGTGTCATGTTCTCTCAGGTGGAAGTCAGACTGATGAAACTCTTAATCAGGATTATAATATAAAAAATAACCTGAAAACAATGACTGATTTGTTTGTTTTGGTGTCTGAACACAATCCAGATAGTGATTTTTCTGAATTATCTTCATCAGTTATTAGATTTTCTGCATGAATGTCTTTAGGTWTTAACCATAGAGGTACAGATAACAACTAGAGTGAGTCTTGGCCCGGTGACTGTGTGATCTACTGTGGAACAGGCAAGTGTCTGGTTTACTGTACATGTTGTCAACACAGCAAATAAAAAAAGGACTGATGAAGTAAAACTCATAAAAACTTTTGATAATAATATTATTGAAATTTTTATAATTATCATATTATAAAATGCTAGAAAGCTGCATATGTTATGAATGTACCATCGGAAGAGAAACAGGAAAACGTCTCATTTCACAAGCAGATTTGATCTTATTTTCCTTGATCTGGATGCGATCTAACCAGAACTGAAGCTAATAATTTAATAGTTTAAAATAAAAAAAGCTATAAAGCCGATGTAATCATTATTAATTATTGACTTGGTGAACAGATATTAGCTCTTGTAGCATATATTGCAATAAAGTGTTGCACTCAGCTGAATAAAGCTACAATTTAGCACAAATTATTAAATATTACAAGCTGGTTTTGTAAAATAATATTATGTATTTGACTAATTTTGAGTTTCCATGGAACAAACCGGACCTGTTGTGAAGAGCTAACATCAGTAGAGACAAGTTTAATCCTGAAATATGGTGGGTTTGCAGAGAACATTTTCTAAGTGTCGACTGGTGAATCCATCCATCCATTATCTATACCTGCTTCTTCCTTTCAGGGTCACTGGGAGTTATTGGTGCCCATATCCAGCAGTCACTGTGCGAGGGGCGGGGCACACCCTGGACAGGTTGCAAGTCCATCACAGCGACTTGCAAATATTTATTATTTATTTATGACAATAAGAAATAATAAATATCTTTTATTAGTTGAAGTCATAAGTCTGCAGCTAGCTAAAACGTTATTGACTGATTTCAGGTCTGCTTCAGATAATCGTTACTTATAAATAAGATTTTTCTTGTATATATTTAGCTGTTTTACGTGGTTGTTGAAAGAAATTAACAGAATTAACCATAATATTAATTTATTGTTAAAATATTAAACGTTTGTGACACACATCCAGTTGGGCTTGCTGTTAATCATATGTGTCGGCTGTGAGCCAGCGCCCTGCTTGGTCACCGTTTTTGCTCCTCTGTTGTCACAGATGTCAACAGTGGACAGGATGGGTGGGGCTCACTCTAGTATTATTCAGTGATGTTTTTTAACCCATCAGAGCTCTGTCTGGATTTTTTCACTCGTCCTCTCTTCCCCTCAGACTCACCGACTGAGCAGCGACCTCGAGTGTTGGGCAGCGGCCCGTCCACCAGGTTGCTGACGTCATCGAGCAGAGCCACTGTGACTTGGGACACTTTGTCCCTCAGGCTGCCGTAGACGGAGCTGCCCACCCTGTGCAGAACGCCGCGCCTCAGCCCGTCCAAACTCTGAACAAGAGCTAAGTTCCTCTGAGGCAAACTGGCCTCACGCTCTCCCCCACCTGAGCGGGACAAAGCCTGCAGCAGGAAGGTTTGCATGAAGCCTGGCTCGTCCTCCGAGGCCGTCATGTCTTCTGCAGATGCGTTGGCAGGCGACACTTCCTGTCTCATGGCTTCAGGAGGCATGCTGAAAGGCCTGAAACGTCCAAACGAGCCTTTAGTGTGTCCAGCAGCTTCGCTTGCTGGGTGTAAACTGACCACTGGCTTCCAGTTACGCGTTTCCAGAAACTGYAGCAGCTGCTGGAGCCAGCTGACACTGAAGGCGCAATCATTACGGCCCTTCAGAGCGCAGATGAAGCCCTGCAGGCCTGCACTGGCCTGACCGTATGTCCCACTGATTACAGCCTGAAGTGTAGCTTCCAGCACGGCGCTCACRGTCCTCCAGTTCTGAGATAAGAAAGTCAGGARGGGTTTGTGGGGCTGGCGCTCTGACAGAGTGAGGAGAGTCTGCAGGAGGCCCAGAAACCAGTCCCAGTGTGGGCTGCCCCTCAGGGACAAAAACCAGTCCTGCACTTTGACACTGGGTCGGGGCGGGACGCGGCCGTTCCACTGGTTCAGCGCAGCGTTCCCCTCAGACTGCAGAAAAAAATGCAGCACCTTTTCCCACAGCTGCTCCTCGTCCGGCTCCGGGGGCACCTCCTCCAGCTCAGCCCCCATCTCCTGGAGGTACAGAGAGATGTTGTAGAGGAACCCAGAGAGACGATGTCTGTTTATCTGCTTGTTTAACGAAGGCAAGTTCTTGTTGGGGAAAAGGGTTTTTAGGCTCCCAATGATATTCCTCATCCAAGAAGTGGTCGACTGGTCCTTCTTTGTTCCCGGTGGGGGTTGGTGAGAACTCAAACCGGCATCTTTACTCCATCTTGAAAGGATCTCTTTTAAGGTAGCATCTCTCTGGTCCACTTTATCACTTCCTGAAACAAAAAGCATGAAAGACTGAGCTGGAAAGAAGCATGAGCTTCCTAACGTTGCATTTAGAGCCACGTTCATGCAGAGACCTCACCTGTCCTCTCAGATGCTCCTTGTCTGAGTAAAACCAAACAAATGATGACGCCTGTCAGGTTAAGAGAGGCCATTCCTGACCCTTTCTTCAGCATGGTCATCTCATGCCAGCGTGCAAACAGCCGTCACATCTTCACCTTCAGGCTTTTAAACCTGTCGAACATGCAAACAGTAAAAAGCACGCAYGCTGCTGTTTCACTTRTTTTAACTCAGAAAATATTACTGCAGAAACACCAGCTTACACATCATCTTACCACTTTTACACCAGCAGTGTTCACAATTAGGTTTGCAAACTGCAACTTTTAATAATATGCTTTAAAAAAAAGTAATACCTTGTATTTTAAATAGCTAACAGCAGAATAAAACATCCTGAACTCACCAGCAGTTATGATCCATTTTTGTCTTCAAGTGTCTGCAGGTTTCTTCTTAAACATGTTGCTGCCATCACACTAGGCGCTGACCTCCTCCTGAGTTGGTCTCGATTTCACTACGGCTCGGACTTTCTCTACCTTTTGCTCTCTTCTTGCACCCCTCCCACCACTGACGTTTTTTTAAATGGTTTGAGACCTTTTGTTTTTGTCACTGTGGCCTGAATTTTCTAAAATCCTTTCACTGTGTTATATTATGGCAGTATGAGTGTCTCTGAGCTCAAATTATTGCTTCTTTTGGATAAAAATTTGATATTTTTTTCTTTTAGCTGTTTTTGGTGATGTGTTCTGGCGCATGGAGACGTCACAGGAAGGTCACCAGCTCTGTTTAACACAAGGTGAAAATCTGGATCATATTCATCACACCCAGGATATCTCTGCTGCTCTCCAACTGTCCAGTTTGTCCCGTTGACTAATTCTTCACTCATCTTGTCACACTGGGTTTGTCGTGGGGGTGTAGTCTTACCAGAGGGGCCAGGTCAGGCGGACTGTGTGGTCTGTCGCTGCTTGGACACTTTTATCCTTGAGTCGGGCAGTTATACAATYAAGCCTTGTGCAGGGGCAGAGGAGCGAGCTCCCCGGAGTCAGACCACTGTCTGCAGCCACTGAAACTTTAGAGGACTGAGTGAAAGGACGCCCCCACCCCATCCACCCCAACTCCTCCTCCCCCCGCCTGCTTTAGCTGTGCGATACTGTGGCCTGCACAAGGACAATAACTTCCTCCTGTATTATTGATGCCACAGGGAACAGCAATCACTCAGTGCAGCCGGGCTCAATTCACCACGGGAATAGTCAATGAGAAACTAGATCTGCTCCGTTCGTTCCTCCTCCCTCGGCTGGAAACTCTGTCAAAGCAGTGGGGAAATCAGCTGGTGAAAATAGCTGTTGAGATTGGAATATGTGCTCCGAGGCCAACTTTTAGCCCCGTTTTCCAACAGAAAAGATAAAAAGGACGGAAAATGAATCCAAATCTGAGCGTTTAAACGTGGTGGGAGTGTTTAAAATGGTGATTATATACCGGTGCGAGTCATTAGAGTTTGTTTGATTGCATATTAACGGCATGGTTTGAAGAACGGGCTCAGAAAAAAAAAAACCTCTGCAGCTGCCAGGATTTTTGATTTGAGTAATGAAGAAATGCGGTCGGCTCTTCATTTGAGTCAAGATTAAAGACAAACTAATTCACACAGATAAATGTGCTGTTTACATCCTCAAAGAGCGCTGGTGAGTAATGTTCCCACTGCAGGCCGAATGTTTGATCAATGACCTTCATCGTGGGGTTTTTGTGTTGAAATATGGAAACGTAAAATGGTGAAGAGACGGTTTGGCTCTGTCCTCCCTCTGAGGTCAAGTGTCTTAAAAAAAAAGATTTTTTAATATTTTTTTGTGTTTGATAAACTTGTGAACTTTGGTTTTATCATTCAGTCTTTTATCTTCAGGACATGAACTGATATCCTGATGTTGGGAGGCAGACAAAACATGACTCTTAACCCACCGTGTTTCAAAATAAAAATTTGTGTGTGGGTGTACATGTTTTTGCTTCCTGGTGGGGATGATTTTTGACCATTTTCCTGGTACACACAGCCTGATGAGGACCCAATGGGGACAAAAGCCTGGTCCCCATTGAGGGAAATACGGTTGGGTCAGGAGTTAGGGTTGGGACTAAGGTGTGAATTGAGTTTAGGTTAGGTTTAGGGTCAGGTATGTACCTGTGAGGTTAGGTTTAGGGTCAGGGGTCAGGGTTAAGCTATGACAATAAATGAATGGAAGTTAATGCAAAGTCCCCATGAGGATAGAAGAACAAACGCGTTTGTGTTTGTGTGATGTGTGGCTCCTTTATCCTCTTTTCAAAGAAGAAAAAAAGTCAAATGTTCCACCATAAATTCACAAAGTCTCAAAGATATTAACTGTCTTGTCATTTCAAACTGCTGCCTGATCAGGTCTGTTTTTTGTCTCACATAAAACTGGTGATAAAAAGAGTTCAAGGCTCCAAAAACACTAAATATTTACATGTTTTTTTGTTGCAAAGAACAAGGTCAGTTTTTGTAAAACATGAAAAAGCCATAAAATTGATTCTGTATCACAAGAGCACAATAAAAGTGTTTATGAGTAAGAGGATGGAAGGTACATGCACCAAGCTACAGATTACAGCCCGTTACTTCACTGCAGCTGTGATTGAGAAGTGAAATTTGAACACATTTATGGTTCCCTCAGTTAGAAATAACTTGGGTTTTGGAACAATCTGTATTTCAACATCATTTCCTTTAAATTTATTTTAAAAACACATCTGTTCTCACTGACTTTTAACCAATTGTTARTTGTTGTTTTTTATTGTTCTGTTCTTTCTTTCTTTTTCTTTGATAATTTTTACATTTATTTGTTTTATTGTTTTTAACTTTTTTGCTTTTTATTGTTCAGAACTTTGGTAACCTGTTGTTTTTAATGTGTTTTATAAATAAATTAGACTTGACTTAACTGAATAAAACATTGCGTTAGGCTTAGATATAAAGATTGTTATTGCGTCACTGACCTTCATGTTTTAGTGCTAACTTATGACCTTAGAAATGTTTTTTATAGTTACTTTATTCTGTGCTTAAAAGTCCAGAAAGATTTTGTGTTGTGGCATTCTTCATATCACATTTTATAAAATAAAAAATAAAGAATAAATAAGTGTGCTTTGCTGATAATCAGACTTTTTATGCTTTTAGAAATCTGTTAAGCTGAATCTTTTGAAAAAAAAAGGTTTTGAAAAAACTGACGTGTTTTTCAGCCTTGAAAACAAAATATTACAGGTTTGAATGGGGTGATGAAAAGGACAGAGAAAAAAGCTTGTCTACATTCAAGTATAAATGAGARCAGTTTTAAGGTAGCAGAATAAAATAAACTGAAGTACTGTTCCAGTTCTCAGGGTCAGAATTTTCACCCTTTTTTTTTCAGGAAGATTTATTTTCCCCTCTGAAAATCATTTTTGATATATTTTCTCAATAGAAACGGTTCTTTTGATTAAAAAAAGTTATTTAAAAAATTAAATTCACCTTGTTCCTTTAACATTTTTTATTTCTTTTAATGTCACCGCGCTCGGTTGTAGTGCACTCTCTCTCTCTACCTCTAGAGGGCAGCATASGGGTGGGGTGGGGGGTGGGGGGTTATGATTGTGATTCCAGCTCTGAACCCTGAGAAAAACAAAACAATATGTTTGGTTAAACTTAATTTATTACTGAATATGCATGTTTTATCAAACGTAAATCGCAGCAACATGGGAGTTTCTGATGCAAAAACCAGCAGGATTTGCTGTGATTTTGTTCTTTTGACTCGTTGATTTTTACTCCAAGATCTATTTTTTGCTTACAGGATAGTTGGGAGAACTTATCCAGGGTAGGAACTTGGAGCCATTTGCTTCAGTTCAGCAGTCAGCAGCAAATTCTTACGAGCCTACAAGACACATAATTTTATTTAAATAAAAGAGTCAGCAGTAAAATACATGTCATGGTTTTGTTTCTAGAAGTGAATGAATGACAAACCTTAGAAATTAGATTTCTTTTGTGCTCTAAGACCTTGATTGTAGAATTCTTGGACTCAAGATTTTCCTACAAATACAAACATATACAGTATATGTATATTTTTGTTATTGTCTTCAGAATAAAGACGAAGTGTGTGACTCTACAGCAGTACCTTCACTTTGGTTGTGATGCCCATCAGGGCGGTGTGGTCCACGTTCGGAGCTGTGAGCACAGACTGGAGCTGAGCCTGGATCTTCTCCAGACCGTCCACCCAGGTCTGCAGCTTACTCTCCAACAAGCTGTTCCTCAAATCTGTTTCATCCTGCGCTGTCTGAGTGTTCTGACGAAAAGACTCGAACAGCTCGTCCCTCTCCAGCTGGAGCTGCAAACACGAAGAGAGACATAAATATTTATCAAAGATTGACACAAAATGTGCTTTTATTTCATAAACATTCTGATCTTTAGCTTTTACCTTGGTGAAGTGGTGTTTCAGTACCTCGTGGTCTGTTTTCAAGTCTTCCAGGACTTTTCTTTTGGGTATTTTTATCTCTTTCTGTTAAGAAATGTAACAAAATAAAATCTGAGTTTTGGGGGGGGTTTTGCACATATTTTAAACACAACTCCAAACTTGGATTTAACCTTTACCACTGAGCCGCGTTTGGTTTTCTTCTCGACGTCAGCGATTTCCATCCTGACTTTTGCAAGAAGCTCAGTGAGATGAAGGTTTTCCTTCAAAACAGAGCTCTGATCCTGCTTCATCTTCTTCAGTTTCACCTTCAGTTCGGCAATTTCTTCCTAGGATGTAAACAAAATGAGTCACAGAAAAACAAAAACACAGAAAGTAAAGGCAAGTTTTTTCCTAAATTAAACCCACACTACAAAAATTTGCCTTTTAAAACTAAGTTTAAAAAAATATTAGATTATAGTCTGGATCTTCTTTAAGGGAAACTATCTGCCGGTGCAGTAAGACAGTTGCACATGGTAGCTAAGACTTCTTAAAATAAGGAACAGGATTAAAACAGTATCTAACACATTAATCTCTTGCTTAGTTTATCAGTCTCAAAACAAGATCAAAAGTACTTTTTGGCTGGATATAAGATTAAAAGACATTACATACAAAAGTAAACGATCAAAACAAGAGCTTATTTTGAACTAAAAGAGTCCAGTCTAAACAAAGTGTGTGAAATGAGAACACATRCGTTGAGTTGATCGATGGCCTCAGCATTTTGCATCACGTTGAGCACGACTGCTTTAGCGTCCCTGAAGAACTGGTTGTGATCTTCTGTCAGAGCCATCATGTGGCTGCTCCACTGCAGCTCCTGTGTGCTGATCACACTTCGCTTTATCGTCTCCTGTTCTTCTTGCAGCTGCTGCATTTTCTCCTTGCATCTCGCTGTAGTTTCTAATCAAAAAATAAATAAATTCACAACAGCTCAGTAAGTTTCTAAAATTATGAGAAGTTTGGTTAAGAGACTAAACTCTTGTTTACCTGCGAGAAGCTTGTCGAAGTTGGCCCTGGTTGCTGCCGTTTCTTCTTTGTGTTTCTGTTGAGGAAACAACAGACAGGGTCATCTTTTATTTTGAAGGGGCAGGGTTGCACTTCTTTTTTAACATCAGTCACATTTAGTTTGAGGATCTGAACTTCAAGCATTTTTGCTGCCATCAAAACAAACTGTGGGACAAGCTAAAAAGGATATGAAGATCTTGCGCTTCCTTAGCATTGGGCTAATTTAGCATTTTCTTTTTATGGCTGATGGATTCAGTCACTGAGGATCCTCTGAAAATATGACAAAATATTCATCACTCACTGGTTTGTGAACAATCTTGTTGAAGCTCATTGTTGATTACCTGGATCATACCGATATCCAGGGTTTGTTTTTGTGTGCTGTTATTGCTTTTATGTCATAGATTGTGTGGTTTTGTTTACATAATCAGTCAAAGTGACTATTCTTATTCCTGTAAATGCAACGACATCAAAGACATTTATTAATTCAAACAAAAAAATATGATATTTGTCTGTTTAAGACAGGGAGGTCAAACTCAGTGACACTAGTGAGCCAAACCTCAAAACTATCTTCAAGCTAGGGGCCAAATTCGTCAAAATCTATTGAAGAAATACAAATGACCATTACCAAATTATGTTTTATATAGTATTTAGAACATAAACAAACCAAATAAATAAAATTTTAAAAAGATAAATTTAGAAAGACACATCATTAGAATTCATTTTTCATGCCTTGCTCTCCATCAACAACTTTTTCATTTAATATAACTTATAACATTCAGAAAAACAGGTACAAACAGGCTGGATAAAATGGGCCAGATTTGGTCTGCGGACCCTGAGTTTGATACATGTGGTTTAAAACATTGATGGGGAATCTCCCAGGTAATACGTACACCCCAAATAACATCACAAGATCAAAAGCACCCATATGTGACAGATTTGGACCACTGACATAGTTTAAAGGCAAACTATTAAAAACCAACAACACATGGTGTGTGGGACAAACCAGTTCAAGCTCCCTGATTTGATTTTCACTTCCGAGCCTCTGCATGTCCACAGTGATAGCTCTCATTTTGTTAAAAAGTTCGTCCTCCAGCTCCTCGTGCTCCTTCTGCAGYGCAGCAGCAGCAGCCAAACGGTCTGCTTTCAGCTCAGACACTGTGTTCTGGTGCTCACACAGCAGGTGCTTCATCTTCTGCTTGTACACCTGGTGAGAAAGGAAGAAATTATTAAAATTGTAAGGTTGGTTTATTGATAATTTTGCCTCCAAGTATGTTCAATGATACACATTTAAGCTAATCAAAAACATTCATGAAGTAGTGTTTTTTTGGAATTGATTACTTAAAACTTTCAACTATTTCCAAGCAGAAAATTGCTCTTAAAAATATGTGATCCTTATTAGGCTTTAACAGTAAATCCTGCGTTTATATCCGTTCACCTTACCATATTCTCCACGCGATGACACCCATCATCTTCCTCAGCAGCCCTCTCCAAGTTTTTCAGCTTGGCCCTGGCCTCATCTAGTTTCCTTTCAGTGATTTCCCTGAAGACGCGGATCATATCCTCCTCCAGCTGGAAGTAGCTTCTCTCTTCCCTCTCTCTGTCCAGCTCCTCTTGCAGGTGTACGATGTGTTCTTCCATCTGAAATACAGTTTTATTGTAGACAGAGCATATCTGTGACAGATGATAGACAGATACTCATCCAGGACAGGGTATATGTTCAGTGTCTTTGCACAGTGACTGGACATCGTTTCTTGATTGTTGAAGACGTTTTTGATACTTATATGAAGCTTTTGTAACTTTGCAGGAGCATCTGAGAACACAACACAGTACTAGCTTTTCAAACCAAACAGAATCCTGCGACCGAACGTGATCCACCTTAAGAATAAACCCCACAGAATATGGGATGCCCAGTTCCAAACAGCCTCAGGAGGGAGGGGAGGGAGGGACAGGGTTCCCACACCTTGGTCAACATCAAATTCAAGGACCTTTCAAAGGCTTTCCAGTACCAATTTCCTCAAATTAAAGAACCACGCACAATGGCAATTACCTACTGCTACCGCAGATTGTTACCAATAAACACGTTTATTATCAAGTAAATTCAATGAAAAACTTAACAGCATAGAAGTTGTTGAGTCAGAAACAACGATGTCAGTTTACCATAACCCTGAGTTATACACATTATTGTGTACATTGTTATCCAATGTGTTTTTTTTTTTTGTTTTTTTTTTAAAAGATGACGAAAATCTGTCGTGTGAATAGAGAATTTCAATCCCCAAAAACATTCAAGGACTTTCAAGGACAAGTGTAATTTTTGGCTGTTTTCACAAACTTTCCAGGTCCTTGAAATAATTTTTTTTCAAATTCACAAACCTTCAAGGATTTCAAGGACCCGTGGGAACCCTGGAGAGAGGTTAGTTTGTGAGTCCAGTTTGTATAAATGGATCTTTGCAAAAACAAGTCAGTTTCTTTAAAACCTTTTCTGATTATTTTAATTAATAAATTTCCATTAGTATTTAAACCTGGCTTGTATTTAACAGAAACTGACAGCTCGTTACATAAAAATGTGATTTATTTTATGATGCATATTTAGCTCCAACCTGCTCCTTGGATATCTCCTCCTTGGTGAAGCCATTTATCAGAGTGGGAGGCTTTGCAGCTGCAGTCTGTTTACTTGTGTCTTTCTTTTTGGGTGGCTGGAGAGAAAACAAACACTTTAACACAGTGCAGGATTAATATATATATATACACACACATATAGCCCATGGGTGCTACACACCGCCTCCTTAATTTAGCCGGAAGCTTCTCGTGTCATAACTTCAAAATGTCTCCGTCTACCGTTAATTAGCCAGCTAGCACATTAGCTAATTATTTTTAAAAAGTATCTATAAAACTGTATTTACCATTTTTATGCAGTTGTTGGAGTTTGAGGAGAAAAACGAACCGATCAGAAGTCCAGTTCGACACCAGGGTCAAACATTTGTTTCCATGACAACAGCGGAGGGCGGGCGCAGAGGAAGTCATGAACATCCGGGTACTTCTTATCTAAGTTTATGTTTCCCAACTGGGTGTTGATCTAATCATATAATTACGCATTTGTCTACTTATGTTCTTTATGAACAAATGTTAATTTAACATTCAAATGTGCAAATAATTTCTACAACTGTTTAATTCTGGTCTTTTGATAATCATATTCCCCCTTCATGATGATTTGTCCTATTATTTGGCTTGTGACCACATATGCTAGCAGACTAATAATATCACTTTAAGTGTTACTAATGAGCAACTGTTAATCTTATTATGGAACTGGAAACATGCATGTGGTTTGAATTAGCAGAGAAAACAGCACTAAAGTGGAAAAATATTTGCGTGGGAGCAGATTATAAATTTATTCACGCTGCAGCGATTATAATCAGTTACACGAGTCCTATAAATATGATTTAACAACTGTTAAAAACAGCTGAACATTCGTGCTTCTTGACTCCAGTGATTGCTTTGATCCTTTAAAAAGAAGGCACAAAATTGAAACAGTTATTTATTATTTACAAAATCAAAACATCTGAAAAAATGTCCACAGATGCAGGAGTTGATAGTCAAAGGTCACAGAGGTCATCATTCTCATCCAACCTGGACCTGTGGAGAAAAAACTGAGGCGTAAATAAATATTAGTCCAAATATCAATATGTGATGAATAAAAATAAAATTTAAAATATGAAGCGCACTCACAAGCGGTGGATATGATCTGAGAGGAAATCTGCTTCAACTTCTACAAAAATGAAGGAAATCATGTTTACAGTCAATTAAAGTGACTTCAATCAGTTATAAATAACAGAGGATATAACCTTTGGACAGAATAATTCTGATCCTGAAGGTTTTTTAATAAACAACAAAATGAAAAAAATATCTTTCATATTAGTGCAAATATTCTGGGCTCAGAAAATATACAAAATATAACAAAACAAAGATAAATAGTTTTCACAACAGTGTTGGAAAGGTTCTGATTTCTTGTCTTATGTGTTTTAAGAAAGTTTGTTTAAATTTAAAAAAATAAACTCCAACTTCATAAAATGCACCTATAAATAAAATGTGTTTTTTTGCGAGCCTGCTTATCCCCCATCTAATTAGCTTGAGTGCTTTTTGTTCCATTAGCTAAAGTTTGGCAAAGTTTGGTGTCGTTTTCTTTCTCGTCCGACGTCAACGTGGCTGACTTGGCACATTGTAAAAGTTCTTTGGGAGGCGGGACAGGAAGTACAACAGGAACKGAGGTGACGGAGCGCTTGTTGAGGAGTACGACGTCTACAGGTCCTCTGATGCTTTTTATATAGATCTGATACTTTTCCGGGCAGTTCGGGACCTGAGGAGAGATGAAGGTACGCTGGATTAGTTCAGGAGGCTGAAGGACAGAGAGCAGATGATGATGCAGAGCTTACAGCTTTGGGAATGGGAACATCAAACTGTGTGCCAACAGGTGCTTGTACTGCCAAAACAATGTGACCTGAAAGAAAATGAAACTAATATTTTAATATTTTGCATAAAGCAAAATAATTTTTCGGCTTCTAAACTGAAGCTGTACAGATATTTGCTAAACTGCTGACTCAGCTAAACATCAATTCCTTTAAATATTTAACAGTGGTGGGCACAGCTAACCAAAATGTTAGGTTTACTGACCACTAACCTTCTAAGCAAGAATCTTAGCCATGCTAACATTAAACTGTTAAACAGATTAAAAAAATTAGTAGAAGCTAACGCTAACCGCTAAGCCGACTGTAACTCCGACTGTCGGACATCTTCATCTCTTTCCAGCTGAAGACTGRTGGGACTGACAAAAACTCGTAGTTAGTTTGATTCTATTAGTTTAATTTGAAAGTGGGTGGGATCATCTGTGGCAAATTAGCCAATCCAAATCAGAATTATAGCTCCGCCTCCCTTCTGACATTTCTAGTTTACCCATTTCAGAATAGAAGCGTTTCTTTGCTCGAGATTTTTATAAATACGGTTTGAAGTTAATCAAACAGCAAATACTTTTTCTACCATATTTTAAGTTTAGTCAATTTTTGTAATCATTATTTAACTATTGTTAAATGTTACCTAATTTCAATGCTCTTAGTTTGAAGTTTATCTGCTAAAGATGCTACATGCTACACACGTCCAGCACTGCTTGTAAGAGGGGGTAKTTTTYATTTAATTCTGGATAAATGGCATTAAAATATAAGTTTTACACTTGTGATTATTTTAAGTGGACTTAAAATTAGCTGAACCTAGTTTAGCGGAAGCTATTGTGTCTGCTAATGGTTTACAAAGTTATTAATAATAATAAATGCTAATCCTCTAAATGAAAAGCTAGTTCTGTTATTAGCAGATTACAAGAACTGTGCCCACCACAACTTTTTGAATGCTCTGTCTTCTTT